AAGCGGGATGGTGGCAACTTTACGAGCTGACACCGCGCTCCTCCCGCCGCTTCTTCGGCTCCTTCACGATGACTGTTGTGCCCTGGCTATGGCTGGACGCCGCCGCCTTCGACTCCTGCTGCTGCACAGGAGGCGTGGAGGCAACCATGCGACGGGCAACGCACGGCGGGCGCGAAGGGCACAAAGCTGGACTACCGGGGTTCATCCAGGCAGCGAGGCGCAGCATTCCCAATTCAAAACTTCAAAAACAAACTTACTTTATCTGCCCCCCTTTTTTTTTTCAGAGGCCGCGCGCCGCCTCAAAAATAAACTTACTTTATCTGCCCCCCTTTTTTTTTCTCAGGGTTGTGGAACGCCAGGACAGCGGTCTAGATTTGGCCATTCTGTTCCTCAACACCTGCAGCTAAACTGGGTAAAGCTCCCAGCTTTGTTTTTCTGTTCTTCCGGGTTGTTTGTCGAGGTATTCCCGGCCTCAGTTTCTTGAGCATTAATGAAAGCCTGCAAAAGGCCTCCTTTAAAAAAAAAAGAAAAAAAAAAGAAATGTTGTTGTTGTTGTTTTTTGTTTCGTGGCGACATCCCGGCTGGGCCTAGAATGCCCCTAGGCAACTTTTCTTTTTTTTGGTCGACCCCCTATTTTCGGGGTGCGCCGCACCCCGTGCGCGCGCGTCGTGCGCGGTGTGCGGTGCGGCGTATGTGCGGGGTGCAGCGCATGTCGATGCGCCGCAAGTATATCTGGTCCATTAATAAATTAAAAAAAAAAACTCTGCGACTCCAAAAAGAAAAAGTATTCGTCATAGATTAACGAGTTCTTTGATCGTCAGATTCGCATCAATTTCAACGGCAAGAACATTCTCCACAACAATATCGTAGCTTCATTGATGCCCGAGGAGATAGCCTCAACGGCAAGAACATTCTCCACAACAATATCGTAGCTTCATTGATGCCCGAGGAGATAGCCTTTTCTCGTAGCTTCATTGATGCCCGAGGAGATAGCCTTTTCCTATTCAGTCCATGATTTCTCTTTTATTCTGTCAATCATTATCTTTTCCCATACTTCCACGCGAGAACACTTTCCTCTTCTTTCTGCTTGCCACACTGCTGGCTCACTTTCTTTGTTCATAAAGAAACACGCATAGCACGGCGGGG